CCTCTTTGATCCAAGCAGCCTCTCCGACCATCGTCTGAAGCCCTCACTCTATAACCTTCCTTCAATACGAAAAACCAAGTTTCACACACAAAATACCAGGTTCTTCTTTCAATACGAAAGACCAAGTTTCACACACAAAATACCAGGTAAAATTACAGTTTTCTATATCTTAATCTTCACGGTTTTAGAAACAACTAACTCCATGAAGCAGATAATTCTTGAGAAATTAAGAACCTCCCAGTAATTCAGAAAATTGTCTGCATTCATAAAAACTCGCCACTGTATTTTATTCCACGCAGACGAATCCAGTGCATATTCTTCAATAAAAATGAGATGCCAAAACCCGTACTTTTTTCCACTGCGAGACTAGGAAATCAAGAGTGACGATTCTATACAAATGGTGCTGACATTCTTTAAAGAAAGTGGCCTGTACTCAGAGACAACAGGTGAAACGCATTTCAAAAGAAGTTCAGAGAATGAAAACTTGACGCTCCGCTGAACACTGATTGTGAAGCGATATCTTTATTTCTTTCAATTAACCCCTCGCCTTTCAATTTTTATAGCCTGTGCCTAAACTCAGAGACGTTAAATAAAAGAAAGAAAGAAATTACTCTCAAAGGAATCTTCAATTCATTACAAAGACGTGATTAATGATTTCTATTACATCAGATTCTAAATTTCCACGCAAACATTTTCTCTCGATCTGTCACGAGCAGCTAAGGACAAGAAAACACCAGCGAGAACTCTCTGCTATAGATTTTTAACTGCTTGTGTTCTATGGCGTTGGAATGGGGGAGTGATTTAAGACCACGAGAAATCTCGAACAAGACAGCGGTAGACTCCGTCGATATTCAAATGCCTTGTTCAAGTAAAGAATTTTACCAATGGGCCAATCTTACAGATTCGAGTAAGTTATCAAATATAATATCAGAAAACGCTGTTTGTTAATGTCGTACATTACAAGTGCTCAGTAAGATATTTGGACCCGGGAAAGATTAAATAAACGGGGAATTGAGAATATTTCACAATGAGGAGCTGCGTGAATTGTACGGGTCACCTAACATAAAAGGATAGTAAAATCTAGGAGGTTCCGATGGGGTGGACAAGTGGCACGCATGGGGGAGGCAAAGGATGCATACGGAATTTTGATAGGGAATCCTTCTGGAAAACGACCACTGAACAGACCAAGAAGTAAATTGGAGGATATCAAGATGGAGCTTAGGGAGGTGGGCTTTGAGGATGGAAAATGGACAGAGTTGGCTCGGGATCGTGTCCAGTGGCGGGCTTTGACATTGTTGGTGTTGGACTAGCGGGTTCTGCTACCAGGGAGTTAGTTAATTAGTTTTGGCTTATTGAAAGATAAATGAACCAAAAGCAGTGTCAAATGCCTTAAACATGTTAGTAATAGAAGGTCAAGTTAGTAGTAATCTCAATAAATTGCCGTAAGGTTTCGCAAAAGCGTCCTGCATTTATAAACTTGAGGCCCGCGAGTCGATAAGAAATAATGAAAGTGACACTACGTTTTAAAAAGGGGTAATACCCGCTGATGTAAATAAACTCACAATTATACGAATTTCATATCTGGTATAATAATTCTAGTTTCATTAATTTTACAATAGTCTCCACAGTTCTAATGAAGCTGAACTGTTCGCAGTTTTGTGAGAGAAACAAACAAGCAGTCGGTATTAATATATCAAACTTTCGGCACAATGCTGACTACTCACGTGATTAAAAGCAGCTTTATAATGGATTACAAAGTGTTTATCTGTTAGCGAGGTTGTAACTATATCTGCCATTGCACAAGTCCAGACTAATGAAAATATCGCTCCTGTGTTCAATATATCACGCATGTGTACGAGATGAGATTTATAATTTGTTTCTAGGTTATAGTACTGCATTGCTCCCGTGAGACCTCTGCGAAAATGTTCACTTCATATAATAATGAGAGATGGCTGACACGTGGGATAACTTCACTACTGGAAAAATAAAGAAATTAATATTTAAGAATGGCAGGCTGTATTTCAGACAAATGAGCATCAAATCCGACGATGGCAAACTGATGACAAGTATCAAGATGCCTATCGTCATGACACCGATTTCAAATTCGAATACAAACCAATCGGAGACGCCAAAGGACACGATCTTGGAAAACCGAAGCGGAGCTTCGCGATGTCTGTCGTCACGACAACGACCCAAGAATTCACATGTAGCGTACATGACCCAAGGGAAGCCACAATACACTACGCTCGCAAACCGACGACGAGCGTCGGGACACCTACAGTCGCGACGCCAAATCGCGGACATACGCGAAGGTATTCCACAAGACACGAAGCTATAAAACCGACGCCAAGCGTCACGACGTCGACTTAAATATTTCATATATGGGGTACATGGGACCAGGAAAGCCACAATACATAACATTGGAAAGCTGACCTGACCTAACAAAATACATGGTACAAAAGTAGTACACACATATGGAAGAGAAAGTCTTACGGATTATACACGATATAAGTAATTCTTCATTACATAATTTTTCCCTTCCAGAAATATTAATGAATTTATACTGACAAACTTTTTATTGCATTTTACTGTTTAGTATAGTTTTTCTGAGCTAAAAAGAATAAAGGAATTTCTAAAAGAATCCATGCCTATATTTTATTTGCAAAGTGTATAAATACCATTCCATCATTCTATAATACTATAAAACCAAACAGCCTTTGGAAGATTAAGGGCAGTGTGTGTTCTAAATTATCTCGTGTACCCGATATAAAACAGGATAGAAAACTACACAGATAGATTAAATAAGCGATGCATTGTTCATCATCCAGGCCACGAGGTCTCCAGAAAATTAATTTGTAGTCGATTGAACTTCAGAAGGCGCTTTGATAAATGAGAGATTTAACAGAGAACTAAATTTAAAAGTGGCGGCCAGTTAAATGTGTGAAGACAGTGGCATCAGAGTTCGTACGATCTGGAAACAAGAAATCGAGATCTCGAAGTTGACTATGTAGATAACTGTTTCACGAGATTAATTGTTTGTTGCGGATAAATCAACCAACTGCATGTGACGTTTTCCTTCAGCCGCTGTTAATCGCTGAACTAGCAAAGAAATTCTGTCTCTGAAGGAAACCAAAGGCTCATTGTCATGTTCACAAGAGTTCGCCATTGCACCTTATACTCTGCTAGATTAATCCGGTCCAAATCTTCACACTCTATTTATTTAAGATCTCTTTTAATAACGTTTGTGCCCAGGGAATAATATTAGAGACATAATATTTTATTTTAATTTAAGATTATGGGTTTATGTTTTGTAAAATATTTGAAGTTACCCCTTGTTCAAAATTGAATACCGTCACCTTTCTTTCTGTGAAAATCTGGTTATCCAACCATAAAGACGTGATGAACTAATTCCACGCGCCAACAATTTTCAAATGAAAATACACCGACGTGAAATTTATCATCAGGAGAAACAATACTTAAACAGACAAAACACTTTTAAAACGAAAGTTTGTTTATGATGCAAATAGTATATTTTTGTACGTAGAGGTTACTAAATTGATTAAAACAACACCTCCAGCTACTGAATGAGAACGTACATGTTTTTATTTATTTGTTTAATTTTACGTAACAAAAACATCTTCACTAGACAGACAGGTAGATGGACAAAAAAAGTACATCGCTTTGAAATATTTTACAAATACAAGCAAAGCGAATTCGAATACAGGAATTAAGAAACACATTTCGAATTCGTTTCTGGTGAAACGCTTGTTTTATTTCGTAACGGGAATCGGTTTCATGGTATTGACCTTTCCTGAGTTGAATTATGTGCTCTGTTACATTGTCTGCAGTAAAAAAAATAGTATCGGGAGGTGATGGAATGGAATGGGTAGCACAGGAGCTCAGCAGCTGAATACACAAGTGTCTGAATAACAAAAGTATGCAGGAGTGGAAATGTAGTTTTTTTGTTCGCGTTTAAACACAGCGAGTATGAATCATACAAAGCAACAGCCCCTACTAACTTACCAAACACTATGAATAGCTACACAGTCACAGATAAATGCGTAGCTCTTCTGTTTCGAAAATAAAAATAAACATAAAATATTGAAATAATGCATAAAGACAACTGAATATAAACGCGTTTGGTTTCTACAATAACACCGAATATTAAGCACAAAATATTCAACAATAACAGTTTCAAAACATTATACAGTTTAATATTTGAATTAAAATATTGTACATAACTATTACGAAAAGTGAATGGCATGATACAAGAGACGAATTTTATACAAAAGCATATGGGAAATTTCAAAACAGTGCTGATATGTAATACTGTCGGCTTGTAAACAGTTCTATGGCGATATAAAATTCACTGCTATACAGCACAAACAAGTATCGCATTTCTCACGGATTCTGGATTTAACTTTGATTACAGTTTCGATTTATATGCTTCTGTCACTGGATTAGTTATAACATAGATCTAAAATTAGTACACGATGAAACTGTTATAAATAATTTATTATTTATATGTGTTATTACATTTTCAGTTAAATATTGTAAGTTATTTTAATTTTAGAACACTTTATTCTAGGCGACGACTTCTCGATGATTTGCCTCTGTTTTAAAGTGAGAAATAAGCTGCCAGTCCATCATGGACACTACTGGTATTCGTGTGCCTTTAGTCCAATAAGAGGACTTTATACTTTCACGCAAATCTTTGGATATTTTCAGCAAGAACTACGTCTCTCTTGAGGATATTTTCTCGACACGAGGAGGTGTTTAGATTAGTTTACATTAATTAGAAATGATTTCTCACATGCGTCTGGACAAGAGATACCTGGAATTATTACGTAGTATGTAACACGTTTGGCAGTTCCACTGCTGACGGAGACGTGTCTGGAAAGGAACATATATTCAAATCCCCTAACAAGTGGTTTTGGCACGCGGTCCACGAGCTGTTAACTCATCTAGCGGTTTCATGAAGTTGTCGCTTTGTGTTGCAGTGCACTATCAACATGCCCCAGCAGTTGGTTCGGATGTTCCGCCCGCCGGAAGACTGTGACATGTGCCGAGGTTTGAGACAGGTCGAGAGAATTGCCAACATCTCCCCGGCAAACTTCAAGAAAAGGTAAAGTTGCCCACACACAATCATTGTACTTAAAAATGTTGATGTTTTCCCTCTGGGTAGTAACGCCGTGCGGACTTGAATACAGTTACCAACGTTTCCGAGGAACATACTGAATCCATCTTCAGGTTTGAAGACGGAGGAAGTATGTAGTATGTTATTTCTAGAGCTGACGATAGAGACAGTGCGTTCTTCCGAAAAACTGTTATGTACCTAGAGCCCACATGGCTTTACAAACCAGAATACCAACATCGACGTCTTGGCCACCATCAACACCTAAATCTCACATGATTATGAATTTTAAAAGTACTGTCTAATGTGGGTTATTATTGTGATGGAAGGTGGTAAGTCTGTTGCAAACTGAAAGCGACCCTTTCATTTATTTTACATCTTATAACTAATATCCTTTATGTCATATGCTAAGTTACAATGGTTGATGATTAACCGTAATAAATGAGCAAAAAATGAAGATTTTTTAATGTCATAAATAATATTTCTTTCTTCAGTAGTCAAGTTTAAGTGTATTTCACATATTTACCAGAAGACCGGGTTTCTGGCCAATTTATCACTGAGAGCAGAACCGTTACAAATGGCACAACTGACGGCTGATGGTGAATATATGCTGATCTAAAGGCTTTCGAAGAAGGCGTGTCATTTAACTGGAGCGTATACTTAGACATTTTTCTTCGTCTCTTGATTTGATTTTAAAAACGACATTTCGGAAGATGCATCTGCTATTGTCATCAGGGGATTTAGATGATCACTTTCCAATGAAATCAACTGATTATGTTTATATTTTCAAGTATTCACGGAAGCACGGTCAGCTTCCGAAACGTTGCTTGTTTTAAAGAAAAATTTAATTACAGACAAGTCCAAGAATACGTATTTTTGTTTTAAAGAAAATTTTTATTACAGACAAGTCCAAGAATACGTATTAGTTTAAGGATATCACGCTGTTAAACACATAAGTAATGGTAAGATAAGATTTATGTTTTTCTATTGCGCTTGTGTTGCCAAGTAACATGTGACATGTTTCTCATTAAATAACGTGACAAAATTAATCAGGTTAAACTAAATTAGACGCTAAGTACTGCGACCTTTACAAGAAATGAATAGAAAGAAATTAAAAAATGTGGGCCATAATTAAATTAGTGGGTCCCGTACATGGATTTGTTACTTGAAAGCGTTGCTGTGAGGTAGAAGAAGAAGAAGAAGAAGAAAAAGGAAAAGAAGAAGAAATGTATGTGAGAATTAGTGCGTGAGATGCATGGCTCTGGTCCAGATTGCTGTTCTAAGCAATGGACTGAGAAAAACGGAAGGGGGAGAGGAGGCAGTCGAAGAAATGGGAAGCCGTAAGAGAACAAAGGAGAAGACTAAGCCGACGTCATCGTCATGTCTTGCACCGCCCCCTTCTTCCTTACACACACAAACAGATTAAATTTATTAAGACGCAAAATTGGTTCTGCGTCTGTCTTAAACATATAACAGTACGAAAAAGCTCTTTAATACTTAAACGGAAAATTACATTCCTTCTAAGAAAATGGTACAGATAATGTTTAGTATCTAAATCTTCTTATATCAAGAACATTTACAGCTTTTAAGTTTCTTTACTTCCTTCTTCGTCTCTTTTTCACATACCCGTTTTGTATACATCTCCTTCCAAAAATTCTTAGTTTTAAAAAGATGTACAACAACTGTTGTACGACCACTTTAGGAAGAAATACGTACGATAAATATTTGTGAGCGTTCATGAGTAGTTTCCAGGGCTTTCTATGGAGTCAAGAGAAGCATTTTCATTCATGACTGCTTTTATTTAATTTAATTTGTATCAACTGCAGGACTAAGAGGTATTTATGAAAGGTTACTCAGGTATTTATATTTTCTTAAACGAATACTGCTATGCAGATATTAAATGCTATCTTATTAACTAAACAGCTGACTGGATAGCTAAGTGTAATATTTCAGATTTTGGTCTTCTTTTTTCTTGCGGCATGAAGATGAAGGCAGCATGCTCGTGAGAAACGTTGCGTTATCCCTGCAAGTCAACACGGAGCAAGAACTCAGAAGATCAGAATCTGAATTCGCTCACTCACTGAACTTCGTGATGCTGGACCTTGATTTAGAAGCTACTTTGCAATTAGATGGACAAAAAATTTGAAACCCTAAGGTTCATTACCGTTTTCACATAAGCTCGCTATTTGATCCTAACCTGAACAAGTTTACATTTTCACAAACTATTTCAACTTCATTTTTTCTCTCTCATGTCTTAGGCCCCTAGAAGTTTCGGCATTATGTCTCTTACGGTGTAAATATTTGCGAATTTAAATATTAACGTTCCAACCCCCGTCTGTCCACTATGTAGTGCATATATATCAATTAAAAATAAAATTTTAGCTCCTCCAACGCTCGTGTTCTAGAAAAATTATCACTCCTAATGAATGTGTAGCTGAAAGATGTCAGAATTTCACGGAGCTGTGCTTTGAGTCCTACACAACATTCGGAAGAACAGAAATTCGGTACCCAGATATTAACACGCTTCCGTATAAATGAATTGAACTGAATTATTTGACAGTTCTTGATAGCCTCGTAATGTACACTAAATTTTTTAAAGGGACCATGAGTGTTAAGAACTTCGCAGAAAAAAAAGTGGCATTTGAACAACTATAATATTTTTTGACGTAAATACGTCTATAAGGAAGGGTCATTCGGCAAAAAAGTGTAACGAAAAAGGGAAACGAAAAAGGGAACGAAAAAGGGAAACGAAAAAGTGTAACAAGTGTACCTAGGGAACGTCGTGTTTACTCGGCATTATTGTTACCTAGGAAACGTTACATTACATTTCTTTACATTACATTCATCTGCCACAGACCCATCTTAAGCGTAACTAATTCAAGTTGATTAAGCAATGTCTTAATCAAACATCTCAATTGTAAAGCATGTATAATGGAAATATTTAGAATAAAGCCAATATATAAACTTCCTTTCCGTATAGACGTATTTACGTCAAATTCTCCGGAACCGTGGTTCCACTGACAACTTTTTATTTTCAGATACACATATTCGGGACATCCTGTGATTGTGACTGATGCCATGCGCAATTGGACGGCGCAGCATGTATTTGACTTCCGATTTCTCAAGACACTTTATCAACAACTTCCTCAAGCCCAACAGTCACAGGGCTGCCAACTTATAGCTACAAACTCTGGCTTTGCCAATCTTGGCGAGGTCTTTAACGGCAGTTACAAAACAAACACTGAGCCGTGGCACATCGGATGGTACGTACTAGGTGAATCGCATGCAAAATGTATGTTCCTACGCTCTTGATTCCATTGCATTATGCTCCATAGATCGTTGCACATAACTTGTTACGAACTACATAATTATCAGTATCTTCTTATCGTTCTTATGCTCATAGGCCAATACAGCTTAGATATATAGGTAAAAATCTACGTAATTACTAGTGTCTGGTATCATCACCAACCTATTTCGTTCTCAACGATCACTGGCACAGTTACCATGTGTCTGTTCAACCAGTTTTGGTTAGAATATCTACGGAAAAAAACGCCATGCAAGTATAGTTTATACACAGACAGATCTATAATCGTTTTTCTTCTTCCCAGGGTTTGGTACAGGTGTACTGTCGGTTGTTTGATCTACATTTTCACTTCCGCTAGTATCCGAGACATATTTTCCTCTACATATTTTCCCCAAGATAGTTTTCTGCTCGAAGTCCTCCCTCTCACACATGTTTCGAAAGAAGACGTATTTAATACTTGATCAGACCATCATTTCTCATGCTCCTGGGGTCACATCAGAAATTGAGAGTCGATTTCTTCGATTCCACCATTTCTGTATCCAACGGAATTGTCTTGGCATGGATGCACAAGCATGTCTTGATTTATTAAGCTGTGTCTCACTGAGAAGAAATGTACTATTAAATATGTAAAGGATCTATTGATACGTCGGTTTCAGTAACATCCAAAGAATGTATGTGTTACAGCAGCCAAACCTCTAGAAGTGTATTTCAGAAGCGTAAGCAACTGTAAACTGTAGGACCATGCTGAAGCGATAACTTCTCGAACATTCTTGTTATGCATGTAGTCTAAACAGTGAAAAATTGTTGTCTGGATTGTAGGAAGTCTGTTATTTCAGCCCTCACTAATATTAGACTTAAAAAGAGAAGTACATAAAATATGTTTATATTTTTAACTTTTATTTTTATTGTTACTTCTTCCGTTGCATTGTTTATCCGCCTATCGTCTCTTATTTCTTGTCTCTCTTATTAGCTGCAAGTTTCTTTGTGTTATTTTACCCGCAGCAGTAGTTCTAAAGCAGAGATCTTTGCCTTTTCATGATGTTGAGTGGTAAAATTAACTATGAGACCTGTGATACTGCAGCGAATGAAGAAACAATGTGGAGGACAAGAACATCATAAGAAAAATAAAAATCATTAATAAATCAGTAAAAATCAGTAATCCAGTGAAGAGTTTATATACATAACACCAGATGATGGCTATATAGAGCCGAAACATGTCGTGTATGTTCCACAAGTGTATGTTCCACATGTAAATCGAGTACTCGATAGGGAACGTAAAATGATATTTTAACCTTTAATTATTTTATTTTATATTGTGATTGACGGATAATTTTAATATATATTTTGAATACTATAAATCACAATATGACGCATCTACAATATCTTATGAGACATCAGTAAAATCGCTTCCTCACAACAGGCGGAACTGCGACGAGCGAGCAGTCGCCATCTTGCGTCAGCACTATGGACGTCCCTACTTCTTGCCTCCCAGTACCAGTGACAGACAAAAGCTCGAGTGGATTTACCTGGCCAGTTCAGGTTACCGAGAACCTATACACGTGAGTGAATTTGATATAACAAGTATCAAGTACTGCAGTTAGAACGGGCAATGTTACGTGCAGTGGTTGGCACTCCTGCTTTATACCCAGGATGGCCCACATTCAAATCTAGACCGTGAGACCGGTTATCCTGACTGAGACTTTCGTGGTTTTCTTAAAGACGTGAAATTAAATGTTGGGTTAATGTCTTCAAATAGGCCACCACTATATTTATCCACATTATTTCCAATCCATCCTACCATTACATGTAGATCTCAATTTTATTCAGCTGTTAGTCGCAGTACGAAGGCTATCTGAAGAGTATGTGTTTTTGAAACTGCCTTTGGAAATATTTTGTTTAATATGGGCACTTAGACTTCATTTCAGGAGTTGGCTCTACAAATCTGTTCAGGTAACCTGCCTCTTCCAGTAATAGTTGCAACTGCCGAAATGTAAGCCTACCCCTGAACACCGTGACTTCGATCCTGACAACTTCTAACAATTAATAAATTAACCAATTTAATAATAATGACAACGAACGACCTGAATACGGGAGACCAGGCAATTCCCGAAACGTCGTGTACAGGAATACTAACCGTAGGGCTGAAAATTAGGATTGAAATACCAGTCTCGATTATAGGGCTCGAGAATTAGATGTAAGAGGACTTCTCTCCTCACAAACCAGACATATTGACGAGAATAATCATAAATATAAAAGTACCGTGGTCGATTACTCATCTACAGTCCATTGTTTAAGATGGTATAGCAGGTGGTAGCATTACGTCTACAACCAAGAGAAGAAAAGCATGGGGTTGTGTATTAAATCTATGATCCCCCCCCCCCCCCACTTGCCTCGTACTTTCTACCTTCTGCTTTTCGAAGTACTGTCTGATTCATTTCCTTCAGTCCGATAATTACTTCCTGAGAGCCTTTCACTTCTAATTGCTTCCTTTAACTGTCGATTTTTACTTTCAGAGGTGCATTTCAAAAGTTCATACTTCGTACATAAAATATGTTTTCACCTTAAATATCGATTTCTTGAATTTCTGTTCTTTTCAGATTGATGTGGTTAATCGGCCATCTTGGCAAGCTCAGCTCAAAGGAAGCAAGCGATGGTTCCTCCATCCGCCGCCAGAGTGTTACTATCAATGCGAATCGCTTGACGTCACAGTCGAACCAGGAGAGATTAGTAAGTAGCTACAATGAATGTACTGTATAGGTTAGGTTCTACCATCTGCTCTGAGATTGGGGATTCAACTTTGGACTTGAAACTGCGAAGGATAACGTTGCTGAAAATGTACTGGAAATGCAGCAAGTTACTGGAAGCGTTACAAATTTAATCTGAATATTGCTGGATTGTACAGTTTGTAGATTCAGTTTCCAGTGGAATAATTACTTAAATCGGCGTATTCCGAATCTAAAATTTATTTGTTGTTACAAATTAAGGAAAAGTGACAAAATATTGCAAAGTTTCTGTTTCCTAAATAATTCAATTCTTTATTTTAACGAGCTGACTCGACAGCTACAGGAGCCAATTACAGAGCAAACACAAGAAGATAAAATAAATACGAAGTACAGAAAACAACAGAAAATTAAGACTAAAACTAAATACATATGATCAATCTACACACTTCTTCGTATCTAGGTGTCCTCAAAGGAGACAATGTTCTTGTCAAAAATGTACAAAATCTATCATTTGCAGAAAAGACGCACCTAGCTGAAGGACTGTGAATAATATTAATAGACAGAAACAACTAAGTTAAATTACAAATATAATCTCGAAAACGTAACACAGATCAATATTAAGGCTGCGTAGTGACATACATATAAGAACGGATATTAAAATAACGCACTCAGTGCGAGTCAGATTAAAGTTATAACAGAATTCAGTTTTGCATTTGTACATATTAAACGGAACATATGACAAATTTGATGTGGTTTGATAATTCCTCAGTCAGTATTGTAATCTTATGGCAGTGATTTTTGCATTTGTCAGTAATAAAAGTTTACCACGCGTACATTTATTCTTTATAATACCAGTCCTATGAGATTTGAGGTAATATTTTTGTGTTATCATCGTCATTATGTGGAATGCGTTTTGCGGTCGATGTGGGAGAAGTTAAAATATTGAAATAACTTTATGTATTTGCATCATAAGCCCTTATATAAACCCATTGTACTGAAAATTGGCAGGAAAGGTAATAACGTCCACATTCATTGCCTAAAGCTAAAATAACGTACCCGAAAAATAAGTTATTTATACAACTTTATTATGGTCCTTGCATCACAAGCGGAAGATGTAAGAAGGATCCATTACGTCTAAAATATCACGCTAATAATATACTGATTTTAATTCATATACCATCTATAAAAATGCCATTTTGTGGTCAGTGACGCCAAATTGATTTAATTTTAACGAGGACGTACACAGCAGACATCGCCAGGTTCAATTTCAAAACTAGAACTTTAAGTAGTAACATTCTCTCAAAACCAGCCTGAACTTGGTCATACTAATGTTACAATAATTGGACTGCATCTCCAACTGAAACTCTCGTATCACACTACAGGATAAATAACATAGGTGAGATTTCAGGTTATCACGGCGGTGAGTCGGAAGTAGACAGTCAACAAAATAACATCAGTTTGCATCCATCCGTAACTGATGTTACCTTCGAGGTAATAAATTGTAGTAATCCTCCTTATTCTTCAGGAATTATGGCCTCTTCTAATTAAAAATTACTTTGTAAAATTACGAATCTGTTTAAACATTTGGCAGGACTCCTTGGAAATAGGGCCAGCCCGACGCAAGGCGTCAAAGTATACAGGACAACATAAAAGAGAAAATCGTGGAAACACACACACATGCTTACAGTGAGATTCGTTATGTGCCTTTCGAAATGCAATACAGACTGTAATATGAAGTCCAATTTCAGCCAAATCATATTAACTTTCGGCGCATACTATGCAATATCTCTAAACAGTTCTGTATCATTCTATATTATCGCAAAGGTCTGACATTGTTTAACCCATATTTACTTCTGGGATACTTTACAGACTGTGATAACTCCAGCATTTTTATCAACCTGAAGTTTAATTTAAATGAGGAAAATCCCCTCTCGGAACATAACAAATGAAAAGTTTAAACTGAATCAGCCTGTAGTTGGTAATGCGTTACTGGCATAACGTCAATCTTTCAGTTATTGCAAATGAAAGCTCATTAACTTTTGGTTGTGACTTTTCTATGGTCAGTGTGCAATTAGTGCTGTGTCACAGATTTAATTACTTACTTTAATAACTCCATGCTTTGGGTTATTTTCTGGAAAGCATTTCAAAAAAAACCCGTACACTACTGAGTGTTTCTTTATACTTTACACTGAGAAAACTTTAAAGTGGTAACACAATTATGAACCGGCCTGTAATTGCTTTTTCCATTATTGGCTTAATTTATGTCTTTTAGCTGTTGGGAATTCGGTCCAATTAACCTTTAGAATACAATATATGAGCTTGTAACTTGCTATGGATAACATGTAACATGTTCTAGTGGTTTAATTTCTGGTAATAATTATTCTGACTGTGCCCCCAGGATGACTTTCTGAAACTATAAGTGTTAATGTTATTTCAGACAAGTCTATTTCATGATCTGTTACTAGTTTGCGTCCTTTGTTTCAGTTTCCTCTTATACGGCCAACTTCATTTCGGGAATACTTTAACAGAGTTATGAAACAGCCTGTGATTTTCCTTTTTCTTTCTTTCTTTCTTTCAGTTGTCGTTGACACTGCCCGGTGGTACCGCGAGACTGAAATTGTGTCTGAAGAACTGAGCGTCGCTGTTGGAGCACAATTCGACTTCACCTAGTGAAGTAATATCGAGTCAGAATAAAGTGACTTGAAAAGTATGGACATAGTTGTGGGTATTGACAAGGATAAGAGGAAAATAAAAATACGGAGCTTTTTTTTAAGTGTATGTGATCGATCAACGGGGTATTCGGAAGACATCCGTGACTGTTATTAGTGGGAAATACCTTGAACATGGAGAACTGATTTATGAGATAAATTCTAATCGTTTCCATATACGAAACTCTACTTCCTGCAACCCTTCTATTTCCACCAAATCCCTCAGGTCTCCGAGTTATGTAATTTATCTTCAGGGCTTGTGTCATTCCATACCACTCCTAGTTAATCCATCAGGACAAAGGTAAGCCTCTCGTCTAACTAAACCAATGTTAACTCCTTGAAGTGAATTACCGTCTAATGTGAGGTAATTTCAATTTGAAGGAGAAATTCTCCTACAAAATATATGTTATAGATGAGCCTTAGATCATAGATACTTTGTAACGTACGGGGTGGAATGTGTTCAATACAACTAATTTGAAAATACTGCCTTGGTTCTTTTTAATTTTGTACCAGTGCAGTCCATGAAAATGTACTTATGAACTGTTATAGTCTACGTAAATATATTGACTTCTAGTCTGCACTGAATATGCGAACCACCATTAATGAGCGATATAATTTACACTTCCCGAACTGGGTCCATATGATTCACAATAATACTAACATAACGTTTATGAAATACTCTCAGGAAAGAGAACTTTTATGTGTAAAAATTTGTTTTCTCTCTGTTTTCTCTATAAAATAAAGTTTAGAAGCAATCTTAATATCGGAATTTTTAAACAAACTGTGGTTAATTTAGCAAATACAGCTCTGCAGTGCTTTTCTAGAAAAAGACAGCGGAAATAATATCTTCTGTCTTTACATTTACATTTAGGCTATTATTTAATTTTTGCGTAATAAAAAAAGGATAAATAATAATTAATAGATTTAAAATAATTATTCTGACTTATCTATAAACTGAGATTGAGAAATAAATATTATACGCTATAAGAGTGTAAATAATATTCAAGTGTAGAACAGTCGTTCACATAATTTCGTTGTAATCCGTCTAGAACAGAGCTGTTCATGCAAGCGGGAAGCTAGACTGATATTATTCGAAATTTTATTTTTTACCTACATACCTAAAAATTGTAAAGTAATTTATGCATAAAATTTGCTTCTCTTTCAAAATGTCACCGAAAAACTTTGTTAGTCACGGTCTGTAAATATGCATCAGTAGGCAATAAACATGTAGTACAAATCTATTATGCTTTTGTATGAAAATTACAGTTGTAAAATTTTGTGTAGTTATGCGCCGTTATGAATCTACTGAACGATACGTCAGAGAAAAACATATAATCAATACTACATGCACCTTCGTGGTTGAAACGTAGGAGCACCGTGTCTGCCTGAATGCTTCATCCTTGAAAACTCTAAAGAATTTAAATGAAACCACGAGGTCCACAGGAAATACTGCAGTGAAAATTTCACATTCGTCTGTGCCAATTAAATATAAATCCTACTTCACGCAAGGCAAAATCTGACCTTTATCAATTTTTTTTTAAAAAAAAACTCACTGCATGAAAGATTTGTAAATAAAAAATATATTAATTTTATTTTAAATTTTTTTAAATACATATTTTTCCGAGTTTATACAAGACAAATGAATGTATGTGAATATAGAATAACGTGCTATTTTCTGCTTTGCAACAACAAATTTGTGTCCGCAACACATGAATCAAAGTCAGCAATGGTCAATGACGTATTCTTGGCGGCAAATAACACATATGAGAAATACGTACTCCCAACTGGAGTACACCTCACATATTGAAATCATACACATCTGTCTAATTAACATGTTTTGTATTTTCGGGCCATTTAACAAATCTGATTCACACGTAAATTATACATATGTAGCAAATAATCAGATTAGATCATTGTTATGAATGATAAGTATGCAAGAATTTGGAAGGAGTCGGCAGTGAACCGGTTGCATGCCCTCTTGTGGAATTCGTCTACAGAGGGTAACGAGACGCAAAATACCTCTTTCAGGTTAGCTGCTGACGCAGCCGAAATTCGAACTGGTTGCCCACCCCCGAATAGATGTCCAGAACGTTACCGCTGTTCATTAACGTGTCTGATGAAGTTCGCATGAAGATACTGAAGAAATTCACGAGGTCTTGGAGGAACGCTTTCCATTTCAGTAATCAGTCGGAAAGCTTGTGTGGGCGTAAGACGAGGGAAGGGGGGGAATGGCTGAAGTCTGATACGGGGTGGTTCACGGCGCAGACAAACTAGCTTGAACCCTGTTTTAATTCGGGTAATTACGGACGATGGTCCGAGCGTCGAGAGCAGACAAAGAAACAGAAACGGAGAATCCAGGCCGGGATATTTCCAATTGCCCGCAGGCTAGAAAGCCAGAAAACACAAGCGCATGCAAACAGGTAAATAGCAATCAGTTCTTCGGATCTCCTCAGAGCTAAAGTGGCATACATCACATCCTTTAAGTGCGGTATAAAATAAGGTTTCTCGCTAATACAAAATTAGAAATGTAGAACTGTAGGGTAATTTGCTGCGCTTACAACAAGAAACAATGCATGACATAAAATTGCCCAAGTTTATCTTCTGGGTTCTAACGCTGTGCAGGCCTTGTAAGTAAATACCGTAGTTTCGGGCGAAAACACAGCCTCAATCTTCAGGGTTAAAAGTGGAGGCGGTATGTTCCTCCGAAATGTTGGTATCTGCCTACAAGTTCATACGGCTTTGCAACCCAGAAGACCATTATCGACTTCTTCACCGCCGTAAAAAAACTCCAGAACTTTGGCATTTACATCCGTCTTTACACGCCATCACAACCCAGAATAGCGAGATTTTCACCGCCTTCTAAAACTCAAATCTCACTCATGAATTTATGTTTTTATATTTCTGCAACTTTTAAAATACGCCACAGTAGGATCACACGCTGATACACCTAGAACGACGTAAAACTTCAGAGTACAACTGATGCATAAAATATCTCGTGCAGATTCGAAAAAGGTAACAGTGAACACATTACAAAGGCAGTTCTAGTTAAATCAGCTTGAAATGGGCTATACTTCTTCCTGATGCTACTATCAATTGCAGAATTAACTACGTATTGGTACAACAGGAATGGTCAGGAGATGAGGTAGGTGTACTGAATGATATTAACTTAGCGAATAATAATGAGTCACTTTCAAGAGCAGATTAGATGATAACTCAATTCCAATATTGCTCACACAGCATGTGCAGGTTACGCCAAATTGTAACTATTTCGTACGAAACGTTGGCCCAACAAATGTCATTAAATACTTATAAAGTATAAAACAACTTACATAAATGTTAATGTATATGAGTGCCTGTTAAATATTTAATTGCTACTGTGTTAATAATTCTAATCTTTAGTTTAACTACAGAGATGTCTGTAATTTCAAGGAAAATGTTATGATATACGATTCAATCTAAATAGGATACTGTTTATGACTGTGTTATGAGCGTGCGTGTGTGATGCATGACTCATCATCAAACGAAACTCAGTGTTAGGGTTGTTAGGGCTGTAATTCTGCGGAGAATTATTACCTTGGGGCAGTTTGTTTATGGACTTGAAACGGCCACGGGAGACAAGGACGGAATAAATTCAGTGTATTAATTTACCGTCCTATTGTATCAATTACTTATAGTTAATAACATTTTTTATTATTTCATACATAATAGATATTGTGGATTAGTTAATTTTCAGTCCTATGGGTTCAAATAACAAACAGTAAACTTTTATCAGACATGACAAATATTACGACTTACGAGTTTTCAATAGATCTAAAACTACATCATATTCGTAATGCTTAGATAAAAGAGAAAATGTATTTCTTGCGTAGACGTTCATCAGACATTTCCTTACCAAGATATATTACAAACCCCTTCCCGATGTCAACGAACTACGTCATCGGTTTAAGGAGAGAATAATTATTTTCAACGGTCAAAACTTCGACAAAATGACATTCCGACGTTGTGTTCAATTCGTCGAAGTAATTGAATGTATGTTTAAAAAAACAACTCGAAATAGACTTTTTAGAAGTTTAAATTGAAACTCTACCTTTATTAATATTCAAAGTCTGTATAAATCGGCAGTCTTATCATTCTGTGTTCGAGACCAAAGCTGAGGATCAATATTTACTGCATGAACAAACTTGATTTTCTTTTCCCTTGATTCAAAACATTTCTCATTATAATGACACTTTAAGCTTTAAAGAAGTGCGTACTATACACTAACAACACACAAGATTAATAAAGACTGAAACCCGATAGACTGTCCACAATGATTGCAGTGGATGTAAATACAGCCAAGGCAGTGGACATGGACGCCTCTACACACCCAGTAGTTTTCTCTAACACCCAGTTAATTAATGCATGATTATTTTTCATATGAAGCCAATAATTGTTTATGCAGAAATAAACTAATCACTTTATTTATAATTTTCACTTGAATATTAATTCTGACCCTGAATACACACTACTTTAATGATTCTTAGCACAAGAAAATCACTTTTATTTATGTTCGATATTAGAATATAAGTGTTGTCCTTCATTACGCATATTTGAAGAAAAAGTTTTGGAGAGCATTCAAATCTTTGCATTGGGAATGTTCCTTCACGAAAGACGTAGGGATATCTTGACAATAATTTACTTCCATCTTGGAGAAAAACATTTATCACATCCTATTTAAACGACTTGGATTTTCTATTATTATACTTAAGGAAATAGAGGCTAAGAAATACCTCGAAAAACATGACACTATACTCTATAATCTGATAAATATTACAACCAAAAACATTCCGAAAGTGACAGAAATAATTACAAACAACGACCCGCTTGATAGCTCAGGGTTAAAATATTAAGAGTAAACTGGTAAAGAGTAACTGAAGAGTGAAGAATATTAAGCAATGAGGAACATCACAATTTCTATTCTTCTATTAGACATGTTAGGTGAATAATCAGGAAGAAATAAACAGGTGGGACATAGACAAGACAAAATGTTGTGCCCAAAATTTTGAATGCAGAAAAGGACAGTAGGATGGCCTAAACGTAGATTAAGGGAAAAATTAAAAATTATAAAAATTTAATCTACACTGAAATGTGGCATACCACACTCCAATATTGGGTTTTAAACATTATAAATATAAATATTCGGATGTCATGTAATTTTTTGATCGGCTAATAATTTGTCAACTCTCAAATGACTGTACCATACAGAAACTTAAAGAATCATTCAAATTTTAGTTTACGCAATGTAGTCTTCTAGATGGCAACCGATGTTTTTAAAGAAAGTAGCCCTTCTACCCCAAAATGGAGGCAGCACGTTCTTCCAAAATTTTGATAAAATTACACAAAATCACACAAGAACAACACAAACTAAATTCTCACAGCCAATGAAACGTCACATCTATCACAGAATTCTTGTGTGATTTCACAATTTCGTATACGGGACGATGT